AGGACAGAGCCCTGGGGTACCCCAGAAGTTATAGCACAGGAATTGGATAAAATTTCATTTGCTACCACTTTTTGTGTTCTTTCTGTTAAATATGACCTAAAAAAATTACAAGATGTTAAGTCAAAGCCATAATATTCAAGTTTAGCTATTAATAAAGAATGGTCTAGAGTATCAAAAGCTTTAGAAAAATCAAGTAGTACCAATGCTGCGGCTAAACCCTTATCCAAGGCTGAAAAAATATTGTCCGATACGTTAAGCAATACAGAAGAGGTACTATGTCCTTTTCTAAAACCCGATTGGTAGTTAGATATGATGTTATTTTGTAAAATATATTCATATATTTGTGTTTTTAAAAATGATTCTAAAATTTTTGCTAGAGTAGGAATTATAGTAATGGGCCTTAAGTCTGAGTATGCAGTAGGTTTACTATTTTTAGGAAGCGGTTTTACCAAAGATAATTTCCACTGATCCGGAAAATATCCAATTTCTAAACAGCAGTTAATAATGTGCGTAATGTATTTACTTAATACAGGCAAACAATACTTTAACATAATTGCACTAATACCATCACCCTGGTCTTTATATGTAAGCCTTCTAAATTGTTTTGCCCTATTTGGTCTTGCTAGTATGTTGTTTGAAGCTTAGCTTGGTGTCTATTGTAATTCCCAGGTAACGACATGATGTTGATGACTCTACTGTACTTTGCATGATGTTGATAGTGGGTGAATTCGCTTTAATTTTGTGGTGAAACAGTAAAAGGTGCGATTTTGATGGGCTAGGAAGGATTCTCCACTTGGACATCCATGCTGATACCTGGTCGGTTAGTTCCTGTAGTTTAACACTTGCTTCTGTTGTCGTTTTGCTATGGGTTATTAGAACTGTATCGTCAGCAAATTGCAGAATATAGCTCTGGCCGTTTATGTACAGGGGATTGGGGTTGTACATGTCATAACAATATAAGTTATATAAAATTGGTGACAACGGTGATCCTTGCGGTACTCCTTGTTCTGGTGAGAAGGACGAGGATAATTTGTTGCCAATTTTAACTTGTAATTTTCTTTGTGTGAGAAATTCCTTTATCAACCATACCAGATATTTCGGACATTCCAATGTTACCAGTTTTTTCAGCAACCCATAGTGCCATACAGAATCAAAGGCTTTACATATATCCATAAAAAGTGCTGCCGATTTATTTCCTTCTTTGCTTTTAGATTGTACATTTGATGTTAGTATAATTAGTGGGTGTATTGTTGAGGTTTGCTTTTTAAATCCGAATTGGTATAAAGGGATTTTGTGTCCAATGGTCTGTTCTAAGCGATTTTTAATTATTTTTTCGAAAGTGTTTCCAATTACGGGCAATAAAGTGATGGGCCGGTAGTTTGTAGGGTTAGCGTGATCCACGTTAGGTTTGGGGATGGTAATAATTAATCCTTTTTTCCATTCACTCGGAAAGTAGTTATTAAGCAGACAAAAGTTAAAAATTTTGATTATTTTATCATGAATTTCCTGGTCCAATTGTTTTAGCACCATTCTGGGAATGTTATCGTGGCCTGGTGCTGTATTTTTGCCGTTTAAACAATCAAAATATTCATCCTCTGTAACATTAGGTATATCTTCATTTAGGTTTCTTTGAGCAAAGTATTCTCCCACCCAATTGATTATCTCATTTTTATTGTTTTCGCTAAATATTGCATTTTCTGTAAACTTGTAAGTTTTTTCAAATTGTCTAGCAAAGGCATCTGCCATGTCTTGCTCTGTTTGTAGAATGTTGTTGTTTTCTTTTATATAGTGAAAATGATTGTTTGTTTTATATTTGGAAAGTTTCTTTATTTCGAACCAGTATGACTTACCCTTTGATAAATTAATTTTTCGACAAGATTCTAGGTATTTTAATATAAAATATAAAAACCTAATGTTTTAGTTATTTTGTTAATATTAGTCCGAGTATTAATACAAAAACGCCGCATCTACAATATTGAGTAATATAGGACAAAAGTCATGACCGGCAATTTTTATTGTTAATAATGAAAATGTTAATAATGTTAATAATGGCGTTTTTGCTAAGAACGGCAGTATTAGGAGTATTTATAAACTATAGTTTACTTTTTTAATAAAACAAGTTATTAATTTTGTATTGATTTATTTTAATACTTCAAATTAAGGCTATTTGTTAAATACATCTAAGCTGTGTAGCAATGGAAAAAGTTCAATTTTTTCTTCATATTTTAAACTGAGTAGTTTACACTTTATGTTATCTTCTGTAAAGGTATCTGGTTCATTAAACACTTCTGAAGAAATATAAATATTTAAGTGTTTTGACTCAAATGGGTATTCAATTTTTTTTTTAGTTTTCTTAAACTACAACCATAAAACTGAATTTTAGCTCCAGAAGATTTTATATTTAAGATGTTTACTACTTGGTGGCTTTTTGTCAATAGCCATTGATTCTTTTATCTACTTTAAATTTTATACCTCGTACATACACTGATTTATTTAATATACTTAGCTTTTTTGATATTGTTCAAACAGCAGAGGTATTTATAAATTATTCTTTTTCTGTTAATCTTTTGACAATTTTTGCCAAGGGCTGATGCCGTAAACTATGTTTTAATACACCCAATTGATTCTCAAATACGTAGGTACTTATTTTTGGTAGAGGATCAAATCTTTTGACATCATCAACTACATAACTTAAATTGTGCACATAGAGTCTATGCCATAAATTGATATAAATATTTCTATATAATCTTTTAGCAGCTTATCAGCTAACAATCACATGAGAGTATAGTAGCTGCACAAAAAAGTAAAATAAAATGCTTATACATTTCAGAACTTAAATTATCCTTTAATATAACAAGACACAAATATAATAAAAACGTACGATATTCAGTGGCCTTCCTAAAAGCAAGACAATCCAGTTCTCTGACAGAGCGGTGAATTTCACTGGGTATTGTTAAATTGCTGTTTTTTAACCACAATGATATGGCTTTTACTTGAGGTGGAAAAAATTTAGATTTTAATTTATAACTACCATTTACCCAACCATTTAAGCAGCGCTTAACAATACCTAGATCAATCAAATGTAAGGAATGTCTTTAATTAAATCCATTGGTAAACTCTCTAAAGGTGAAAGTAGACATTCATCTGTGTTCTTATCTTTTTGGTGATGGTCTAGGTCACTTTTATTTCTAAATTTAAGGTCTGATCTGAATGAATTTCTGGAAAACTGATATACCTTCCTTCTTTGAAATACTTTCCAGTAACATGCCATTTAGTAAGTGGCGGCTGGTGGATTTTGGGCACACCCATATCTCGGTTATTAGACATGGGACCCACATCAAATTTATACGAGTTTACAATAACAATATATAAACAAGTTCTGCGCAAGCAGAATTTAAATTGAAGTTTTATTAAAAAATTTAAAGAATTACAGGTTTTATACCATTTTAAATTTTTATTATTTCTTTTACTAAATTAAAAAAAAATAGAAATGTTATAAAATCTGTAATACTTGAATTTTTTTAATAAAATTTGAAATTTGTCGATAAACTTCAGTGAATTAAATATTGTACCACTTTGAATTATCTGAATTTGGGAAGGCAGGAGGCTGGGGGGGCACACTTAAAAACTAACTTTATGTCGCAAACTTCAATTTAAATTCTTCTTGCGCAGAACTTGTCTATATAATGTCATTATAAACTTATATAAATTTGATGTGGGTCCCATGTCTAATAACTGAGATGTGGGTGTGCCCAAAATCCACTGCAACTGTTGTATGCATTATATAGTCCGGGAGGCAGTGAAGATTTTCGGTACTTATTTTCCCAGTCGGCAAACACCGATACAATTATTGGGTTTGTTATTCTGAGCAAAATTTATATATATTTAGGGGGGGTTTCCGATGGGTTAAGGCGGAAAATGCGTTATAAAGTACAAATATATTGCACTTTTTTTTCCAGTGATAAAAATAATTCCATTAGTGAGAGATATAGTGAACTTAAGAAAAAAAATAGTCTGGCTAATCTGTGAGTATGGGTAATATGTCTGGCAGGTGGAAAAATTATCAAAACCATTGCCCTTATTTTCGCAGTCCTAAAAATTTTGTGAGATGATAGCTGCAAATATAGTCTGGCTAATGTGGAACACTCCGAAAGTCTTGCCAGACTCGTCCAACCCTCCACAGGCGCGCTAAATTCGGCATGTTCAATTATACAGGCGATTGTTGTCATCTCTACATGTTTTTACTTTTCATAATGTATGATAATATATAAAATAATTTGTGTAAAGGAAAATTTAAATATGGCTAAAAAAAATGTCAGTCCGTCCGCCACCAAAAAACTTAATTCGCGAATAACTTTGTAACTATCAGAGATACGAGAAAATTTGTGCAGTTGTTTTTTGTAGGATTCTCTACAAAATCGATCTCTTGACAGTCTTTTGTATCTCCCTTAGTTTTTGAGTTATACCAATAAAAAAAAGAAAATCGCGAAAATTCCCATTCAAACGCGAGTTTCTGCGGAACTATACAGGATACAGGAGAACGAGAAAAACGATTTTTCAACATTTTTGTGTATCTCGTATAGTTTCTGGGATATAGTCGAAATAAAAAAAATTGCGAATTTTTCTTACATTCAGAAGCGACTATCTCTGGAACTATAATATATAATGTATCATATATTCGGACAAGAATAAGAAGCAATATTGTAGAGAAGTTCCAACAAAAATATTAATGACAGATGAACGAGCCTGTAGACATTTCGCTAAAACACAACAAATATCACTTTTAGCTGCATAAAAAATCAAGAATCAGAATTGATTTTGGGTAGATTAAAAAATATTTATTTAACGAAATATTCAATTTTAATGAAAAACGCAGAAACAAGTTTTTATTCAACATCAAACATGTGCACAAATCTGGGTAATAAAAACTAAAATTGTAAAAAATTAAAAATACTACTGAAAAATGAAACTATAATAAAAAAAATGTTTATGACATATAATCAAATAAATTCTTCTTCATCTTCGTCAATGTCTTCTTCATCATCACTATTATTATATTCGCAATACTCGTTATCAGCGTCATCTTTATCGTATCCATCATCAATATCATCGATGCTCTTTTCAAGTTCAGAAACGTCAGATTCAGAGTTGTTATCATCTTCACCTGCGAACACACAAATGAACATATTTAGAAAATGTAATTCTACCCCAAAGTGACGTTGAAGCTATATTTAAAGCAAAGAAAATATTTACCTTCTTCTGGTTGAATGACAACTTCGTTGACAAAAGTAGGCAGCTGGTCACCTTTAAACTCGTATTGTCCATCCACCTCTTGCCATCCATTATCAACAGGCGATAGAATCGTTGGATACTTAAAATGAGCGTTTCTCCAAATGTTTGAAATGTATGAAGCCCGTAAGATCTGCTGGTGTAATTCTGATTGGCAAGGTGGTACAGCAGAACCGTCAAAGCTTTTGACGATTGGCTTGAAGAACTTCTCTGTACTAAAGTCTGCGAATCTTGCTTCGTTGACATTTTTGGCTTTTTTTATACTGTAAAGGTGACAAATAAATTCTTCTAAATTTTGAATTACTTGTTGAGTTTCGCACTGGGCCAGATTAGCTAAATCGATGAATGATTTTTGGTACATTTCAGACCCTTTTAATATTGATAATGGTCGTTTTTTGCCTTTTCTGAAAAACGCTGGGTTAAAATCGCATCCAGTTAAGGCGTGAAAACCTGGCAGTGCACTGCAGAGAGTATTTCCCAGAGATTTGTAAATTTTTGTAACATCGACGTACCGTTGCGCATTGCCTACACCAACCTCCATCCAGACTTTCACTGATGCTTCAAGATGTTCCATATTTCCGAGCATAATAATAAGGATATCTGTATCGGAACATCTTAGTAAAATGTTACTGGCTGCATCGACCTTACACGCATGATAGACAATTTTTGTGTCCGCTTCTTCATGCTTGTCGCATGTGAAAACTTCCGAAATCGATCGAGTAACTTTGCCATTGTTTACTTTATATTTATAGCACATGTCGTAATTAAGATATACAGTTTTTGAACCAATAATGGGTGTTGCCTCATCACTGGACCAAAACTTTATTAAAAAACTCACCAAAGCTTCTTTGAAGTTTTTGTTCTTCAATTCTTTTGAAAAATCCGATGGTCGGACTTGTTCGGGTCCAGTAATTTTGAAGGCACGTAAATTAGTTTGTTCTCGCAAATGGTGTTCGTAGTCTTTAATCGATGGTTTGAAGTAGCGATCGAAAACAATAGCAATTGTTTCTGCGTTATACTTGACAAGCGATTGTAAATTTTTTTTACCAATATTTCCAAATGACAGAGGCAATTCCTTCATTAGGTGCATCAGAAAGAATCCATCAATAATCACAACGTCCACTCGGTCTGGTTTTTCACTTTGGATTTTCTGTTCAAGACATTTCATGAGGATTGATTTATCTGTTTTACAAATATTCCCGTTAATGTAGCATAATGATAAAGGTACAGGTGTCAGCGGGTAAGTGAGAACTTTTTCAATATTAATTTTCTGCTCAAGAGATAGACCCAACAATCGACCAAACAAATCTCTCTGCATACGTACTTCTTGCACTTTTCCAGCAACTATAATTTTGTTCTTCTTTATAGAAGCCGTGAACGTGTACGTTTTATTCCGTTTTATTGGTTCTCAAAGCGTTTCTCATCAACAGAACACTCAGCGATAAAAGATTGACGCAGTGCAGACCCAATTGTTTCTACGTTAATTAAACACTCTCGAATATTATCTGCTAATGCTTCTCCGTTTGAGATGTTATATAATAATTCACTGTTCAAATCTGTTGTAAAGGGGTTGAGATTTTTTTTTAAACCATCAATGAATTGTTGCAGCTGTTTTGTATTTTTTTTATCCGACTTGGCTCCTAATCTGCTGTGACATCCTGCGTATTCTTTAACCCAGTTTTTTGTAAAACATGTGAAATTATTGTAGATCGTATACTGTGGCTTTTACACCAACGTTGACGGGCCGAGATTGAGTTGGTATTATTGATGATTCCAGTCAATTTGTTAGGAGCATCAGCATAAATTGTTTGCTCCAAAGTTAAATCAATCGGCTGTCTCGAGAATGGTTTTGGGGTTCTTTTTACACCAAACGATCCATTTTGTAATGCAATACTTAATCCAGGATGAGTTTCATCAATTTTGAGTAAATTATCGTGGTATTTCACTAACCACCGTGAATAATAAGGTTGGTTGAAAGCAAAAAAAAGGTTGGAAATATTCGGCAGTACATATTTAAATAATTCCAGGTTGGCTGTTCGAATGCTACTGTTCAGAAGCAAATAATAATTGATGAGATTGTTGTAGATCAAGTAGTATTGAGCTGTCATTCCATGATCTCCAGTCATTGTTTTATCAGTGTATTCTTCATACTTTTTAAACAATTCATCAAGTTTATCTTATCGTTGGTGATAATGGGACTTAACGATCGTATTTCTTTGAGGCTTTCAGGCTTCAAGAAATTGTTCAAAATGTAGAATTTGAAGCGCCAGCGCCACCATGGGATGAAGTCTCTTACATCTATTGAAATGTTTTCCAATAATAAATGCGTTTACTGAACCACTCGCTAATAATCCACAGTCCACCATGATGTTGGATGATCCACAATTGTCGATAAATTTGCCGACAGCTTTGAAATAGGCCATCATAACATGGAATGAACCGAGATGTATGAACAGATTGTCAAATTGAGGCCGTTCCCTTGCTTGAATTCGTAGAGCTTCTCGAGCAATAGCTAAATCATACGTCACTTGCATATAATATTCCTTACATTCTTCGGCAATTTTTTGGGTTAGGACCATAGTCTTATATACAACTGATTTTTCCGTTGGCGTTAAATATGACACTTTCTGCGTTGGCGAATTATCCCAATAAATCAAACTGTTAAAACCTACCCACATAGGTGTATTTGAAATTTTTAGCGCATGCGATGCCATCCAAGCTAAATATATTCGTTGAGACGACTCCATGCAGTCAGGTATTGAGTGGCGAAATTCTTTATTTTCAGGTAGCAATGTTTCAATCATTTTTGCTTGTTTATTGTATGGTTGCAGCTCTTCTGTGATGGCATCAAATGTTCGTCTTTTCCTTTTCGCCTTGTTATTTGAAGTACTTGGTTCATCATTGTTACTTTCGACAATATTGCTGACTACTATTGGACCTTCAGCATTTGTAGCATCAATATCAATATTTTGAAAAATAATGCCCACTGTATCATGAAGAGTGTCCTTTCCAGTAAGAGTATCGACGAATCTGTCGAAATTATCAAAAGCTACACCTGTCAGTAAATTAGGAGTCTTCGTGATATCTGCCGGACATATCTGGGTCCTACTTGTTGAGACAAAAGTCGCTTCAGTTTCTAATTCTTCAATAACAGTATAACTGCAGCAGTGACCAAACTTATTCACCAGGTTGACAACCTTTTTACTGCTTGTTAAGCTTTTTAATGCCATTCCTAGGGTGATATGCTTGGATGGTTTGATTTTTCCATTTGAAACTGCGTAGATAGAATTATCAGCGAGCGACTCCACAATCCTTTTACATTTTGAACTCTCTTTACGACGTCGGCTAGCGCCACTTAGCAAAGTTTTATAAAAAATATGGACTGCTTTCGGTGTTGTACTTTCTCCTTTGATGAGATCATCTGCTGTCATTTCGTCCGGAATTCTGTCAGGATCCATATTTAAAATTTGCTGCCTTAAAATGAGTGCTGCCCTCTCAATTATATCGGTATTTTCAAGCTCTGTGAACTCTTGATCTTCTAAAATGTGTCCTTGGTATGTCTTGACAATTTTTTTATGTTTTATAGTGATGATTTTAATTTGATTTTTGAAGGTCTGTAGTAATTTCTTTTCAATGTGATGAGATGAAAAAATATCCTTGGTGCATTTCGGAAGCTCATTATGATATTCAGCCGTAAGGCGATCTACATATAATTTTTTCAGAAATGTTAAGAAATAATAACGATTGCCTTGGACAACATGATCCTTAACAGATCCGCAGAGTTCATCGTAAGCTATTTTATTTTTATCCCGATTCTGGTGTCATGATGTTGTTTCACGTTTTTGAGCTGATGCAGATGAATATTCATACATTTTTTTGCAGCAATTATGATAATAAACAATCTGATTAATTTTTTTGTTATGTTCCATTTTTTGCAATCTTATAAACATTCTTTGCAAACGTGGGGGAGTTATATAAAGGTTTATTAAAAATTTGAACCAAAGGTTTATGATCCGTTTCCATCGTTATGGTTTTACCATAAATATATTGATGAAAACGTTCACACAAAAACTTTTTCTATTTGTGCATACCTAATCTGACTTTCAGTAATAGTTTTTGAAGCGTACATACAAGGAAAATTATTTTGCAATAGACAACAACCCACTCCATCTTTACTACTATCTGCTGAAATAGTAATATCTTTATTAAAATCATAAAATTAAAGTACTGGTTTACTAATTAATTTATTTTTTAATAACTGTCTTAAGGGTGCAGTAATTTTTGACAAATTTTCCACGAATTTTCCTACATAAGTTATCATGCCCACACAAAGTAGATCATTTTTATTTTTAGGGGCAGGCATTTTTGTAATTGCTTGTATTATAGAGTTATCAGGACTAATACCATTTTTTAAATATAATGACCCATATAATTTATTTCAGTTAATCCAAATTTACATTTATTTTTATTAAATTTCACGTTGTTATCTTTTGCTATATTTAACACTTTTTTCAAAATTCTATCGGGGTCCTTTCATGTCAAATCGACAAATAGTTGGACGCGGCCCCCACCGATTCGGATGAATTTCGGTGGAGAGTTTTGCCTCATCATAAAACGAAGTTCTGCCTAAGGAAAAAATTTTAAAAAAATGTTTCTAAGAGATATTCAAAATTAAAAATTTCACTGATTTTCCGATTTTATGAGTTTAGTTATTTAATATTTCAGAAACTATTGAATATTAAAAAAAAACTGGTGCATTTTCAGAGGACACCTAGAGGTATGAGAAAAAAATTTTTTTGAAAAAAAAATTTGTAAATTATGAAAATTAAAAAATTTTGAATTTTTCAAAATCGTGAAAAGTAACCATCGCGGGAAAATTTTGGCCTGAAAATTTTTTGTATTATACCTCTAACATATCTAAAGAAATTCTGAAATTTTCAGAGGGTGTTCTTTTTCGTTTCAAAGATATGAATTTTTGAATATTGGCAAAAGTGTTGTTTTTCTATTTTTTCAACTTTTTTTGTTGAATATTATTATTCTACCACATGATTACCGAAATTTGAGGTTTAAAATATTTTTTCTACTCCCACCTTTAAAAGACCCATTATGGTACATGTTTCCATGACACTAAGTGACCTTTTAAATACACATTGACAAGTTGTGGCTTTATGGCTCTTTAGTCACGGGCTGAAGTTGGCGTTCAGTGAGTTGACAGTTGTCAAATGTCATACAATTGTTAGTTATTGTGAAATAATACCAAAATGTGTAAATTATTTCATCAGTCACATCGGATATATGTGCAATTGCGTATCAAATTTTACAGATTATAAAGGTTATGTCAAATGTCAGAAACGTCAAAATAGTGCCGTTCTTGTAAAATATACTAAAATTTTGAAATTATTTTATTATCAGCTCTAATATTAAAAAAGAGTGAGAATAAATTGAAAATAATTTGACAGATATTCAAAATCCTGTTGCAAGGCAATATCCAAGGGAGCCGAAGGGGTTTTCGAAAAGATCTAAAGAATTATTTTCAATTTACCCATATCTCATGTGTAATTTGTTGGATTATTTTTTGACAATGCTCCAACAATTATCAAATTACAAATATCAAAAAAAACTTTAATATCATCCCAGCAATAATGTTAGTAAAGAATTTCCACTCTTTTGACTGGCTAAAACGTTCACAATGTTTCTATTAATTTTTAAAAAATAATCTTAATTTAAAGTTATTAAATAGTTTACTTACGGAAATTTATACTTAGTCACATTGGATATATTTTTTCAATTGCTTGTCAAATATCACACAATTGTCAAAATGCGGTGTGAAATAAAACTAAAATATGAAAATTATTTATTATCAGAATTCTTGATTACAAATTTATATTATTTAGTAAAATTTATGTTAATTGTAATATTGGATATATTTCCACAATTTGAAAATGAAACTATGGGATCTTTTAAGTTTACAGGAATGGTATTTGTATTATCATTCCTGGTTTCGGTTTCAATTTGATAAGTAATTAAAATTTTCAACAACTTCAATGCTTGGCTCAGCTCGGGTGTGAGTATTCTCTTGTATATTGGGATTTTGAACACTATTCGAGATTTTATTTGCTGTTTCTATTTTGTTCGTTAGAGAGTGGTCTATATACCCCTCTACTACAGCTGTTGAGCGCCATCCGCCATGGCGCTTTAACGCTGTTATATTTGCCCCCGAGTAGAAGAACTAAAAAATAAATTTGAAAATACTAGTAAATAAAGTGAAAAATTACAAATTTTATCTGTTCTTCCATCAAGTTGGTCGATAGAAAAAATTGTAAATACCTCTGGAGCATCTTCTTGCATGGTAAGAAAAGTGAAACAGAAAGTAAAACAAGATGGTATTCTGTTTATTCCTGATTCCAATAAAGGTCACTATTGAAGACTACAGAAGAAAGAGTCCAAGAATTTTTCAGAAGTCAAGATATCAGTAGAGAATTACCTGGCAAAAAAGACTATAAATCTGTGTGTGAGAATGGACAACGTGTACAGAAACAAAAACGTTTAATTTTAGGTAACCTTACCAAAATTTATCAACTTTTTCGAGAAAAGTACCCATTTGAAAAGATAGGTTTCTCAAAATTTGCTAGTTTAAGACTGGCTGAATATGTTCTAGCTGGTGCATCAGGCACTCACGTTGTTTGTGTTTGTCTTATTCATGAAAATTTTAAACTTTTATTTCACGGTGCGAAACTTGATAAATTAAAACTTCGAGATGATAGTCAACCATTATCGTCGTATCGAGACTGTATGAAAATGGTTATATGCCAAGAACCTACAGAAAACTGTTATTTCGGTACCTGTACTCATTGTCCGGGCTCAATAAAATTAAGAAGTATTTTGGAAAATCTTTTCACGGATAATTTTTTGGATGAAATCAAATGTAATCAGTGGACTCAAGTTGATAGATGTTCTTTGGAGACGATCATTAAATCAACTGACGATTATGTTGATTTTTTTATAGAATCAATTCCAAAAGTACTGCAACATGATTTTATTGCTAAACAACAAGCTGAATATTTCCAAACCGTAAAAATAATCTTGAAGTTGGACAAGTTCTTGTGGTTGCTGATTTTTCTGAAAACTTCTAGTTAGTTCTGAAAACTTCTAGTTACTGCCGTTTACAGTTTTCAAGAGGAATTACATCGTTTCTTAAAATTAAGGTTCCCAATATTACAAAAATTATTTATTTTTCGGATGGTGCCGCATCTCAATATAAGAACAGGTACAATTTAGTTAACTTGCTCCACCATGAAGAAGATTTTAATATACCAGCCGAATGGCATTTCCATGCAACTTCTCATGGGAAAGGTCCAAGTGATGGGTTGGGTGGACTTATCAAGCGTTTACTTACCCAAAAAGAAGCTGATCAACAAATACAAACTCCTGAAGGAATGTGTAAATGGGGCCAAGATAATCTTCCAGGAGTATATTGTCGTTTCGTTTCCAACAATCGAATTCAGTTGGCCGAAAAAAAACTCAGCAAAAGATTTAAAGATGCTTTACCTGTTCAAGGAATACGTAGCTGTCATGCTGCTATTCCTATTTCAAGGGATGTGATAAAAATGAAAACTATATCATCATCACGAGAAGGAAAAGTTTTTCGCTTAAAAAACACTGAGGTTTATGATATCATCGATGAATCACCAATGAAAACCAGGTAGAAAAATCAGAATTTCGAGTTTTTTTACTTTATGGCAATTAATCTTTTATTTAAAAATAAATATCATTTTTTTCTTTTAAGATTGAGAAAAAGGACTGAGACATCGACCTCAGAAAAGGGAGTGACCAAAAAACGTCGTACGAAATGAACTGCAGCAAACCCTGAAAGGACAAAAGGAATTGAAATCTTAAAAATCGAATACTTTTTATGCTTTTAATCCTTTCATTTGATCACGGAAGCCTTCAATGTTAAACAGTATTCTAAATAAACAGATAATTACATACAATTTTGAGATATTTATGGTTTTACATCCCATTAACATAAGAAAAATATTTTAGACCTCAAATTTCGGTAATAATGTGGTAGAATAATAATATTCAACAAAAAAAATTGTAAAAATAGAAAAAAACTATTTTGCCAACGAAAAAGAACACCCCTCTGAAAATTTCAGAATTTCTTTAGATATGTTAGAGGTATAATACAAAGTACCCTCAAAGTGTCCTCTGAAAATGCACCAGAGTTTTTTTTTAATATTCAGTAGTTTCTGAAATATTAAATAACTAAACTCATAAAATCGAAAAAACAGTGAAATTTTTTATTTTGAATATCTCTTAGAAAAAAATTTTAATTTTTTTTTTCCTTTGGCAGAACTTTGTTTTATGATGAGACAAAACTCTCCACCGAAATTCATCCGAATCGGTGGGGGTCGCGTCCAACTATTTGTCGATTTGACATGGAATGACCCATCGTGATTTTCTGTATTGTCTGCAGAAATTAATATATCATTAAAATAAATTTCTACGCCAGGTATATTAAATATTTCCTTAAATCTTTTACCAGCCAAAGGAAGTCGCAAAAGTAGAAAGATCTGAACTTTCCTCGTCTAACCTAATTTGTCAAAATCCATAGATTGCATCTAATATGCTAAAATAACAGGATCCCTTTAATTTAAAACATATTTCATCAAAAGTTGGAAGCTAAAAATGCTCTCTTAAAATTTTTTTATTTAAATCTTACGGATCTAAGCATAGTCTTAGATCAGATTTTTTTACGATTACAATGGAATTGACCCATTCTGTAGGGTAATCAACTTTTCTAATTATTTGTTTATATAAATATTTTTAGATCTGTATGTAGCAGATTTAACATTGGAAAGGCAACAGGAATTAAAACTGTCAGAAGAGTTGCAAGTCCAAACATAATTGTGTGGCCTACAGAGCAATATTTGGAAAATGTTATCGACGGTTTTAATAAAATGGGCTTTCCCAATACAATTGGGTGTCTTAATGCATTTTTTGGCATATATAAGATAATCCATGTTCTTTTGGCTTAGGAATTTTAATATGCATTCCATGGAATGCATATTAAAATTCCTAAGCCAAAAGAACATGGATTATCTTATATATGCCAAAAAATATTTTGCCAGTGTTATTTTACAAGTATGAAATTCATAATTATATTTTTTTGTAATTTAAATATTTTTTAAGTTTTAGGGAGTTTCAGACCATACTCCTAAATTTACCCATCGTTATGCTGGAGAAGCCATGATGCCAGAGTCCTAAATAATAGCGAAATATGGATACATAAACGAAATGCAAGGTCAAAAATTTCCTGCCGATTGTAATCTAGTGGGAGACAAAGCTTATCCTTGCCTTCCAGAGCTTATGACACCTTTCAAGGATAATGAGCATTTAACAGAGCAACATAGAAACTTTAATTTTTTACTGAGCTCTGTGCACAATAGAAAGAGCATTTAACCTGCTCCAAAAAAGGTATAGATGTTTTAAAGACCTTTTGGATATTAGATGTTTAGAATGGATGCCAAAGTACACAATTGCTTGTTGTGTATTACACAATATGTATACTTCAAAAGGATATTATAAATGTTGATTTTATTCCACCTGAAGATAACCAGCTAGAGCAAATTAAAATTATTCCATTTAACACTGAAAGATCTCTCTTAGGAAGGCAAAACAGAAATAGATTAAGTTTAGAATTATATAACTAACATAATTTATATAATATTATTAGTGTTATATTTTATTTTATAATAAAGAAAATACATTTAATTTATTACTTTTTTTTATTGAAATCCAAAAAAAAAATAAAAAACAACTGCTGCATACAAACAACTCTCTAAAAATGAATTAGTCAAAAATGACTAATTTAATAGTTATTAGAGGCTGCTTTTTCATTTTTGACTAATTCATTTTTAGAGACAAATAAACATTATTTTTTAAATAAACAATTTACTTTTATAACGCATTAAGACTAGACAAATAATATTAATAAAACATGAGGTAACTATATTCCGTTCTATTTAGTCCCTTTTGAATTGATTTTTGAACCACTCAAAGCTCTCTCTTTTGAATTTCATTTTCTTCTCATGCCTTTTTTTGTCTTCGCACTTCAATCTCTGCAGGTGATAATTTTGCAGATCTTGCTTATTCTCCAGGGGAGAATTTTCTTTTTCTGGGTGTTAAATTTTCCTTTTTATCTTTGTCCCTTGTTTTTGATAACCTACTGCTGGAAGCAGTAGTCATGGGAAAAAATTAGGATCTTTAAAATAAATATCATGTATCTTTTTAAAAAAATTTTATTTGACAAATCCCATTCCAGTTGAGTTTTTTCTTTTATAACTTTATCATAATTTTTTTAAGTTGATTCATTTTTCATCACATTTTAATCCCAAAATTTTGTAACCTGCCTTTTCCATTTCTCCAGCTATTTTTTCCCAAACTTTTTTTTTACTGTAAATTGGGGAGTTAAATTTTTCTTGATTTTTAACATAAGTCTCAATTATTAGAATTGTCATTTCATCTCTCCAAGTAACATTGGATAATTGCGAAGGGTATCAAAATTAATTTCCACATTTTCATTATTTATAAAACACTCATGTTTTGGTAAGATTTCGTCTTCTATTAACGTTTTATAAATGCCTAGCACTTCTTCACAGTAACCACATGAAAATATACCTTCCTAAAAATTAAACATGTCAAGTCCATGTTATCTCATTTGACTATGCAACCTCCATTAATTTGTCCATTTTGATTATTTTTCTATGTACAACCGTTAAGTGAAGACAGTGATTTTGTTTAGGGCAACACTGGTTTCATTGGGTTTGCAGCACTGGTAACCGATTTAACCGATCATACAGGGTCTGTCGTTTCGGTGACGATTGGTTAACCGCCTTTTTAGGAACCGCGTTCCTTAACTACATAATTTTCAGGAATTTTACATTTACGGGACACCTTAACCGAAACCAAACCAACCAAGTTGATATACGGAACATATCCTTAATTACAATGTTTGGTTGTGTTGTGTATGTTGTTGGGTTGGAAATATTGTATATCTAATCTTCTTACTTTTATTAGTTTCAGCATTACTTGTTGTTGCAGAATTATTTGCTGTTTCAGCATTTCTTTTTTGCTTCTGGCTTGGTTGGTTTCCAGAACGTTGACTGCCTAGTCGAAACCAATTTCGCCCCGTTTTTTCAAATTCGGCGCTAGTCCAATCGGGAAATTTCAAAATCACCTCTAAAATTACATTGTCAGGGTTGTTATGTTTAAAACAAATTGGTTTAAAGATGTTTAAAACAGCATACAGTTTTTAAATGTATTTAAACTATTTTAAACTGATTTGTTGAACTATTTCAATTAAAGTAAGAGATTTTACAGAAAATTAAGTCTTTTTCCCTTCCCAAGTATTCTCATACGCAAATGAGGACGAAAAAATCAAAAAGTCTTTTAGAAAAGTCCTCTCCATTTATCCCACCAACTTGATAAATAATAACAAAAAAACAAATCATTAAATATAAATTGCGTTAATTAAAATTAAGAACAAAAAACGGTTATCTTGATTCAAATCCTTGATGTATACCTACATGTATGCATTAGTATTATAAAAATAATAATACTAATGTATATATACATATAATCCATGCCAAATCACCGAGGTTTTGACCCGACCCCCTTCGATTTCGCTGAAACTTTTTTATCATTTTCTATCCTACCAAAGACATTTTTCTGAATTTTTTCAGATTTTTTTACCCGACCCAAAAAAAGTTACGAATTTTTGCTCTTTTTTTTTTAAATTGCAATAACTTTTTCACAAATTGACCTTTCGGCACGTTTTTTTTTTGAAATTTTTGTTCTTAAATGTAGTTTTCAGAAAAAAATACAAACAATTTTTCGGAAGTCACGATATATGAAATATTTCATTTTTTTCAATAAAACCATAATTTTTTCGAATTCTGAAACCTTCGATTCTCAATTTTTTTGTCTCAAAAAAAACTTCAACTAAGACAGTATTTAACCCCACTATTCCCATTTTGTGCCGACTTTCCATTCTATTGTTTTTTTTCGATTGAAAATAAAGAAATTTCTCAATTTGGCTTATTTTTTATGACTTTGCGTTGAGGTTTTTTTATTGTTTTTAAAAGCTCAGAAGTTTAATAAAATTGGAAAAAAACAACCATAATTTTTTTATTAAAGTATTGTTTTTACATCGTTAAAAATCTAAATATTTTAATTAATTTCCTCAGTTTAGCGATTGTTTTCTTGAATTCTTAACCGTACAATGTTGTGTCGATTCATCCGACGAAGAAAAATACTTAACTTTTACCAAAGAATTTAATAATGGTGTAATTTGATGAATTTTTTGTGTAGCAGGTATTGGTTTAGCACTATTGAAGCGTTCCTCTAATTTCTCTTTCAGTAATTTATACTCTTCAGTGTTCAAAAACCTAACATTAATATTTGGTAAGTTTTTTAAAGCCCACTCAAATAATTGTAATGGTGTTAAGATTTGTAGATGAGGTGGCAATTGTAGACTAGCACGTGCGGCCATTCGTTTCAAAGTACCACCTATTCCATCACATGGTCCTTTACCGTGTGCCGTAGCGAAAAAATTCCACTCTACTGTTATTCCGAATTCTTCATTATAATGAGATAAATTAACAAAATGTTTATAATTTTTATATTGTTGTGGCGCGCCATCCGAGAAGAAGAAAATTTTACGAACTCCAGATGACAAAGATTTAATGAAATCGATAATGATACCAGAGTAGAGATGAACAGCAATTGCATCATGATTCAAGCAATCAGAAATGATTGCCATACTCCGATGAGTAAGTTCATTATTTTTTTTATAATAAATAACTACAGTATAAACCGTCGCTTGGTCGTTATTCCAGTGAAATCCTGGCGCGGCATCTTGAACAACGAACGAATAGTTTTCTGCAAAGTCAACTATGACTATGAATTCGTCTTCTTTTAAGCATTCTTTCAGTCGTCTCAAGTATGCTGCTTGCTCTTTGGCAATAAAATTGTGTGGTAAAAGAGCCTTTAATTTTTCACCAAAATCATCAACAAAATCATCCGTGTTCTTGATTGTCGTTTCAAGGGTTTCTCGTGGAGTAGAGACCCATTGCTTATAATTAACTTCATCAATTTCATTATTTTCCATCAGAGTTAAGAGATGTTGTTTCACATTTTCGACGCCTGGACAAGAAGAACAATTATTAAAAAAACATTCAGCTGATGGTTCTTGACATACGATAGCACTCAAACAATCATTGTAGGATTTTAATGATAAAGCCGAGCCTTCAGTTAAACGTGAAAAGTTGCCACCTGTTGAAGATATAAGAAAGTGATACAGATGCAAATAAAAAAATATCAAGTCGATTAAATTAATTACAAATGCTCTAAATCAGCGGTTCTCAAACTGTGGTACGCGTACCACAAGTGGTACGCGTAGGCATCCAAAGGTGGTACGCGAATAGATAATAGATGTACTTGCCTTCAAATAAAATTATCGTTGGCTCAATTTTATTGAAAACCTATCATTTCCCACATTTTATATTGTAAATGGCAACACTGTTGTTGGTGTTTATTAAACGGGTAATCCCCTGCTCTTTGTTCTTTAATAAAAGCTTTTAAAAAGTTGTTTTAATACCATAAAAATCGGTTCTGTTTCACGGTTATCAATATTTCTTATTAAACTACAAGTTCAATAAATACGTACACGCAGCACAACTTGTTTTATTTAGTTCGGTGGTACTCGATTAATCCACATTGCACATGAATGGTACGCGAAAAAAAAAGTTTGAGAACCGCTGCTCTAAATACTGATTTATATTAGAAGAACAATTCAAATCATTCACTTCAAATTTATTTGTCTACTTTTTAATTTACCTAAGATCATCAATTTAATATTTTGATGAATCGAGCAAACACAAACTGTATGAGTGCCACATCCACCAGCTAAAATACAATGCTTCGGACGTAGTGATGCAAAAGATGAAAATCCAATTTTGACTTCCGGATGTCTTGAGTTGAAAGTTTTGTGCAACTCTTTTAAATTACAAAGTACGAGACGTTTTTGACACTGAACTTTAGTACCATTATCGTTACGTACTGAAATAAAATCCTTTTTTCCTGGCATGATACTACTCATCTCATCGTCGTTATAGAAATTTGTAACGGTTGAAACTACTGCAGAAGATAATTCACGGCCTAAAAATTTGATTACATCGAAGAATTTACGTGTTAATGATTCAAAACCTTATTGACTTGTGGTTTTATATCTTACCAGTTTTTTTTGTAGGTACTGATAATATTCCATCTGCAGCAACAAGGGTTTTTGCCACTCGCACCATATGCTCACTTGCACCCATCACTTTCATAACCTTATGAACACTCCAACTTAATGGTAGTAGAGTCAATATTTGGACGCGTATGGATCTACTCGTATCATCATCATTAAACTTTTCTCTTAAACTGTTTATGATTTCAGTAGCATCCGCATCACTAAATTCAGTATTCATATGATTTTTTACTCCTAATGCTTTTCGCAAATTTTGAGCGACACGAGTAACTTTATTATCTAAATACGTTTCAAAGATTCTTCTTTTTGCAGAAACAGGAGATTGATCTAATAATGCTAATGCTTCATTAATGGTCGGAAGAGTAATACTGAGACTCATCTCAGACATTGAAAAACTACTTTGTTGAATAAGTAATTCCTGGCCACTTGATGATGAGGCTAGAAAGACAAAAAAGTTACAAACTGAAACAAATGAAATATTAAAGATGTATACTTGACGCAATAGTATCTGGTGATTCGTCAACATGAATTCTTCCGTCGTTAGAATTTTCATCAGCTTCCAAACTTTCAATTGATTCATTATCAGTATCTTTAGTTGAATCCTCAGCATACTGTTTCAGTAATTTCTTATGACATACACTGCATACACGGTCATCAGTTGATAAATGAAAATGAATGGTCAAATACACAGGCACACTTCGCAAAGATTTCGTATTATGATTATCAAGATTCAATGGATTACTAATTTCGGCATTTCAATTGTTTTCTGTTCTATGTACTCAATTTAATTGATGATTTAGTGGGATATTTAAATATTTAAAAGTATGTTTTTAATTTTAATATTTAAATTTTTTTTCTTGTAATAAATAAATAATAAATATTTATTTAATTTTGAATATAAAAAACAACAAAAAAACGTAAACTCTTTTTAAGAAACAAAATAGTCTAATTCACAGTTTAAAAAAAATATCAAAACATTAGTTTATAAAAAGTGTTATTTTTTTAAAAATTCACATTTTTATTATTTTACCACCTCTTTTAAATAAAAAAACAACGAAACGTCAAGTATACCTACTTTAAAAAACATATATTTGAATGTGATTATAATCGTCTTTCTTTATAATTTAATAACACAAATTTATTCTTTAACACAAGTTCATTACCATCAGTCACTGAACATCCACCATAACCTTTTGTACTTTCTTTATGTTTTTTATTACCATAACCTTACGTACCTTCTTTAATGCAAGTTCATTCTTTAACATAAGTTCATTCCTTAAGACCTAACATTGTACGGATAAGAATTCAAGAAAACAATCGCTAAACCGAGGAAAATAATTAAAATATTTAGATTTTTAACGATGTAAAAACAATAAAAAAATTACGGTTGTTTTTATCCAATTTTATTCAACTTCTGAGCTTTTAAAAACAATAAAAAAACCTCAACGCAAAGTCATAAAAAATAAGCCAAATTGAGAAATTTCTTTATTTTCAATCGAAAAAAAAACAATAGAATGGAAAGTCGGCACAAAATGGGAATAGTGGGGTTAAATACTGTCTTAGTTGAAGTTTTTTTTGGGACAAAAAAATTGAGAATCGAAGGTTTCAGAATTCGAAAAAATGACGGTTTTATTGAAAAAACTGAAATATTTCATATATCGTGACTTCCGAAAAATTGTTTGTATTTTTTTCTGAAAACTACATTTAAAAACAAAAATTTCAAAAAAAAAAAACGTGCCGAAAGGTCAACTTGTGAAAAAGTTATTGCAATTTAAAAAAAAGAGCGGTTTTTTTCAAAAATTCGTAACTTTTTTTGGGTCGGGTAAAAAAATCTGAAAAAATTCAGAAAAATGTCTTTGGTAGGATAGAAAATGATAAAAAAGTTTCAGCGAAATCGAAGGGGGTCGGGTCAAAACCTCGGTGATTTGGCATGGATTGCCCCATAATACATATAATACATATAATGTATAATACATATAATAATACTAATGTATATATACATATATGTAGGTATATATACTTCAAGATAAATGTTTTTGTTTTTAATTTTAATTATAGTTTACTACTTGTCCAAAAGCTATAATTTTGCAAATTAAATAAATTAATCATTAACATTAACATTCTGATTTTGACAGAATTTTTTCAAATTGTTTCAGTGCTTCTCGACTTTCTAACGGTAAATATTTTTTTATTTCATCCACTTTGCTCTTGGTATAAGTATATTTATTACTACTATTTAAAGAAGCAACTTCTTGTTTTAAATTCTTCATGTTAACCAATACCTTGTCAACAAGAGTTAAACTTTCAAATAGCTGTTTTTCTCCATGAGAAATTGTCAAATTATTCGTCCTATTATATAATATGCGTATAAAAATTAGAAGAATGCCTATGACTTTTAGTTTTTATACTGTTTACACTGACTTTGTATACAAGGACATTTTTCCAATTTTTTTAACCATATATTACAACGAGAATAATTTAATTACTCGCGATAGGAAACAACTACTATTTGCAATATCTCTAAAAAATGACTTAACCAGGTATATTTGTTAATTCATCTTCAGAGCTTTCTGATTCATTTAAATTTATGTTTATATTGGCAACAGCCTTTTTCTGCATCCTGGACTTAAAATTTCGTCTGACGATGGATAGTCCGCATCTTCTGCTAATTTTCTTGCTTTCTCCAGGGTATCTAAACATTTAAAAATTATTTTTTTATTAAAATATTTGATATATCTAAAGATTGCTAGAAAACGGCCAATGTCCATTTAACTTGTTTAGGAAAAATGTAAATTAAATCTGGAATCTCAAGTCAGAATCTTACTGAGATTATTGTTCAATTCGGCAATAAATATATTTTAATAGGTATGATTTTTCTTAGATCACTAGCTATGAAACATGAAGACATTGGCCTTTTTAATGATTAAAATATTTATCAAAGTAGCCTAGCAGAATCATTAGCTGCTAAATGCAATTTACATTAAATTTAGTATTATGTATTTTCGAAACCTAATTATTGACAAATTAAATTTAAAATTAATTAAAGGTGTACTTACCACAATATTGTAGAATTTCAATTCCATATAAAAGCCAGTCTTTATCAGAACTGCATTTACTTTTTATTAAATTATTAGTATTTTTTACAATCGGTGGCGGGCCACTGGCTGCCAATTGCATGTGATTTTTCCTTTTAATTAATTTGTATTGTGTATCCAATTACTAGAAATTTATGAGTAATTGTTCGTTTCTACAAAACGCACAACAATTTTTTTCTATGGAAAAAACTCCACAAACTTCTTTAACTATTTATCTATTCTTGTATCATAAATAAAAGAACTTATTTTAAAGCTTGTATACCGGCCTAAGATACCTAAGATACCGGCAGCAATTTGGCGTTCTTTGTTCCCACCACCGCACATAAGGCCGAATGTCTAAATTAGCGCGCCAAAAATATTAAATAGGATTTTATGTGATATTATATAAAAATTATGATTATAAATCCTTATGAGGGTCCTACTTAATCCTTATCTTTCAGAAAAATGCATAACATAGGTTAGTTTGGCTAATAAAAAGAAAACAATTGCATATTTAATTAATGGTGTATTTTAAATTAATAAATTAGGTATAATTCCTATCTATCTTTGTCATCCTCATCATCACCATAGAAGGTAGGCAGTCTTAACATACTTAAAACAACTTCATTAAATTGTGTTCTATTTTTCTTGGGTCTTTTGCGCTTATTTGTCACAATAGGGTCAGAAGACACCATTATCCAGTTAAATATGTCCGTATTGGTGTTAATTCTTGATGTTTTTCTGGAGTAATACTGTCTAAATTTTTTATAGTCTTTATGCCCTACCTCAATCACATCCTCTGACAGCTGACCTACTGGTAAATGTAAAGATTTTATTATATCAGCTCCATGTATTAATAATTTGTGAACACTGGCACTTTTCTATCAGTTCTTGATTAATTCCAGTTATCTGGGAAACGAGCAAAGGATTTTTAAAAAATTTACGTGCTGTGTTTCCATCATTGCTGTTGCCTCCACCTTGTTTTGGCTAATCAACAACGAGGCCCATTTCCTTATAAAACCGAGTCGTTATTTTACTTTTTCTTTCCTTTACTCGTGCTTTTGCTTCTTCACCCCTTGCTTGCCACTGCTGTAGTTATAATTTATATGCTATATGTAATAAGTATTCATAGCATATAAGATGTGCCTGTACTACAGAAATACTATATTTGTAGTTGTCTTCAGCACAAACTTTGTTTTGTTGTTTCTCCAAATTGTTAAAATCCTTAGGAGTAGCTTTGCAAATATTGCACGCTTGCGAACTTGCAGTATCAGTCAAAATATTTACAGTCTTTCCGTCCAGCATCGTACATATGGGGATATGTTTAAATTTAATTTCCCTATTTCCTAAGACGATCAATGTTGGCTCCATTTCCAATATGTGTATTCCGTTATACATTTCTTTAACATTTTGGGCATTTTCTTTTTGTATTTTAAATCCAATTGGGCGGCAATACCTTGTCGAAGAAGGTGTCGAGTTCTTCCAATATATTTTTTGGTTGTTGCCATTAAATTGAGACATTTGTAGAGGGACAATCGTACACAATATTATGTTGGAATCCGCATATTCCAAATTACTTGCTACATTTTGTTTGTATATACTGTGTCCACCGCTGCCTTCCAGGCCCCATTTGTAGTAGACTTCGATGGTGTTACAGTTCTCCGACATATTCTGCAAAATTACACCAGCCTGTACTTGTGCCAAACGCTGTGATGTATGAATAAGCAAATCAAGCAGTGGAACCTCGGCTTCGTTTTCAGTTACTTTGATATTTGCAGGATAACACTTCTTCTTTGCCTCTGCAATTAGATGATATGAGGGATAAATATCGGCACCTCTTTCTTTTGCTCCAAGTCGCATCGTGGTGTAATCTTTTCTCGTTAACCCAAGGTCCACTATAAGACCTAAAGCTTCTTCAGGGTTGTTTCTGCAGCTAAGCACAGTTCTTCTGGACTGTGCTTCGATACCATTGGTTGCACTTGTCTTTGTTTACTGCGCTGAGAACTCTCCTCAAATATTTTTCTTGGTCTACCTCGTGGTGTTGATATACACTGGTATGGCTGCATTTCTGGGAATTTAACGTTTCCATTAAGCCATTTCATATTTTTGTTGGTAAAACGGTTGTATATGTAATTACAGTCACGCCATTTCGCAAATAGCTTTGTAACAAAAACTTTGACTATACATTTTATTTCTTTTGTATATTGCTCAGAAAGTTCACCAACACCAATTTTGTCCACTATACGAGGGTTTTCTGAAAAGTTTCCGACCTTAACATGAAGATGGCAGCACTCGTCAACAAAAGTTGGGGAATATGTTTGCGCATGCTCTGATAGGTACCTACCAAAATTTCAGCCATTTTGGATGCGCAGTTGTTGTTGGTCAATCGTTTGATTGAGTCGATGTGAGTGTTTTCGCGAAAATGGAAAAAATCGAGTATCGATCTGTCATTAAACATTTATTTTTAAAAGGCAAAACACCTACGCAAATTAAAGATGAGTTAAACGCTGTTTACGGGGACTCTGCACCATCATTTACCACCGTGAAATTTTGGGTAGCTGAATTTAAACGTGGCCGTACCAGCTTGGGTGACGATAAACGTTGCGGACGGCCAAAAACTGTAACCACTGACGATAACATCGCTCAAGTTCACCAAATGGTACTAGACGACCGTCGAATTAAGGTTAGAGAGATAGCAGAGGCTATGAACATGTCCAAAGAACGTGTTTGTCATATATTAAACAAAGAGTTAGGCATGAGAAAGCTTTCCGCGCGTTGGGTGCCGCGTTTGCTCACTCCGGAGCAAAAACGTGTTCGAATGGACATTTCCAACGGTCTGTTGGCGCAGTTTAGGTGCAATAAACCAGAGTTTTGGCGGCGACTTATTACAGTAGATGAAACTTGGATACACCATTATACTCCAGAAACCAAAATACAGTCAAAACAGTGGACTGCGAAGGGGGAATCGGGTCCAAAAAAGGCAAAGGCTGTTCCTTCGGCCGGGAAAGTGATGGCGACTGTTTTCTGGGATAGTCATGGAATTGTCTTAATTGATTATCTTGAAAAGGGAAAAACCATTACTGGTGCATACTACGCATCATTACTTGATAAGCTGAAGGCAGAAATTGCGGACAAACGGCCACATTTACAGCGAAAAAAAATTTTGTTTCACCAAGACAATGCGCCGTCTCACACTTCAGCGGTTGTTAGGGCGAAAATTCACGAATTGCGGTTTGAACTGCTTGACCACCCTCCTTACTCACCAGATCTAGCTCCAAGCGACTTTTTTTTGTTTCCTAGACTAAAATTTGCGCTTGGAGGACAAAGATTTTCAACAAATGAGGAGGCCATAACGTTTGTAAACAGCTACTTTGCAGAGAAAGACGCCAACTACTATTTGGACGAGAGATGGGAGCATCGCTGGGAGCATCGCTGGGAGAAGTGTATAGACTTACAAGGAGATTATGTTGAAAAATAAAAATAAATTTGAAGAAAAAATGTCTTGTTTCTTTCTTAGGTCGGAAACTTTTCAGACCACCCTCGTATACTGTACTAATTGTTCATTACACTTTAATGACGATAACTTAAAAAAATCTTTATTTTTTAACACATTAAATAGCTCTTCTCTTTTGATGTTCATGTTTCTAAACTCAATCAAACGCTAATTTAATAAGAATGTTTTATAATCAAATTTTGTTATTAATTTATATTGGAATAGAGGTAAATAACTTGCATAGGTATATTATAATAAATATTAAAAAGGTAATTTTTTCCCAAAATTATTGTTAAAGGTAAAATTTGTTAAGGTACCTATAATACGAAATAATGTTATGAAATTTACCTTGTAATTTTAAGTTGTATAAAAAAAGTATGTTTAAGTTTACTAATTAATTAATTAATTACAGTTATACGGTTATAATATAATATATTATGTAATTTATGAAGAATCGCGACTTTCAACCTTCAATAAACTGTGCTGGTACATCCAGTAATATATATTCTCATGTTGTTCATTTCTTTTCCAACGAAGTCACTACTAATATGCTCTATAAACCAAAGGTGGAACGATGTGGACGAGTAATTTACTTTTTTAAATTAGTTATAAGATATGTTATCCAAACAGCAAATAAATTTAGTGGAACTCGTTGGAACTTTTTTTATAACTCTAGCTAAAGTAAACATTTAATTTTTTTTTAATCAAAAACACTATTTTATAAAATTTATATTTCAATTGTTCTACGTACAATTGGTTTATCAACAATTATTGCATATTAAAGTAAAAACCTGGTGCTTTATAATCCATGTTAAAAACTTTGTGATTTTACATTTGGAACCATAGGGCAAGCATATTATTCTCTTAAAACTTCAGAAACATAAAATACATATTGGCAGCGCCAAAGATAAGCCAACTTTGCGATGATGCTGGAGCTATTTTGTTGCGTTAAAAAAACAAATTCTTACGGTTTATTGTAGCCTGGTCTATTACCAACCTTTTGATGACACTTGTGACCAGTTTGGAGACATTTCGTTTTTCTATTTTTGGCGCGCTAATTTAGACATTCGGCCTTATGTGCACCGCTAAACCGTTATATCAATGGAGGGGAGCCTGCCGTTTTAAAATTTATACCTGTAAAAATTACAAATCATATGATCAAATATTTTATTTATTACATTATTAAAAATTAATATGAAAATGATAAAAAAACTATTTTTTATTTATATAATAATATTATATGAGTAGAATAATCTGATAAATGTAATTCTAAAAGATTTAAATTCAAATCACGCAGTTAAAATTTAATATGATTAACATGATGAATAAACCAGCAGTTTTGCCGTTTATCCGAACATCGAGTATTTTGCAAATTTTGATCAAAATACTAAATTTAGAAATGTTTAGTAAATATTATTGTATATTTACTAAATATACCTAATTATTTTATTCTATCCTGTGACCATTTGTCTGGATTAATTCAAAATTTAATTAATTCGTCAAAATAGGGCAAATGCGCTAAAAAATTTATAAAGAATTTTTTACACTTCGGGTTTTTTGTAATTTTTGTCAGAAACTTTCATAAAAGTTATCTGGCAACACTGTACAGTAGTTTGTATAGGACCAGAGTGGTATAGAATAAGTCATAAGTCATTTATTATTGCATCAAAATTACATGCTACATAAATATGTGTATAACAACAGGTTATATTTACGCTTACATGTTATAATAATTTTAATTAAAGTATTATTTCAACAATAAATTAAAAAGGCTATCAATTAATCAGTGAAGAAATTAAAAATGCCGAAATACAAGATAATATGGTGCCACAAATTAATTCATCATCAGACAATACTTGTAGTTCTTTAGTCTCATGGTTTATTTAATGCATGTGAAAATAGTGACAGTAGTTTTGCTAAAGGACATGAATATGCTAGTGATATTATATCACTGATATACCAAGTTAAATCTTAAAGCTTACACACCTAATAGACTAGAATTTTATAAAAGTATACATATAAAACAGGACAGTTTTGGTTATCGGAAAACAACATAAGGCTGCTTAAGATTTAATTGCTATCTTTCGGTCCTATAGACATGAACTAAAAAAAGACGTGAGAACTTTAATGAAAACAATTAGGGTGGGTTGAAAACAAAATGTTTGTTTTTTTTCTTAGCATGGGGGTAGAATTTGTACCTTATAAAAAAAGAAAATTTTGTTTGTACTCAACATCTTGAGGTGGCCCACTCGTTTTTTAAATAAATATTTAATCAAATGGGGTAGTTCCAACGGGAAATTCTTTTTTCGTTCCCCATTTGATTAAATATTTATTTAAAAAACGAGTGGGCCACCTCAAGATGTTAAGTAAAAATTATTTTTTTTGAATTTTTTTTTAAGGTACAAATGCTAAGAAAAAAAACAAACATTACTTAGTTTCATTTTGGGATTGTTGAAGCATTAATTCGTCCTATCAATAAATATTTTGAGATTATTTCTGAAATTATTTTCATATATACAACTTAATTGTGACGGTATCTCATTTTCAATATCTTCAATTAAGCTGGTAGCAATTGAAGCTAAATTTTATACGGAGCCGTTTTTAGTTGGCCTAGTTGGTGATCAAATTATTGTGATCACTTTAAAATTATTACTGTCCAATAGTTTGGAAAAGATTTTAATTAATAATAGACTCAAAATGTTAAGATTTTATTATAAATGCTAGAGTTAAATTTTTAAGAATGTGTTACAAGTTGTTACTTATTTAACTATATTTAATATATTAGTATTTTGTCACGCCGCCCTTTGCATCTATAATTGCCTGAATCCGTTTTGGCATGCTTTCCACAGTTAGCCTAGAGGGCCTTTTAACGAAAAAAATATACATGGTTTGAAACTCGGATTTTTGGAATACATAGAAGATCTACTACTATTATCAAAAAAAATTAAAATCTTTTATCGAGCCCTTTTTGAGAACTGTCAAAAAATGCTTTTTGTTCTATATCTTAACCTATTTATTGTAGGTATCTTAAAAACTATTTGACATTTTTATCTATTTTGTTAGATTTGGCTTAAAAAATGAGTTAAATTTGCAATAAAAACCAAATTCGCAATTTTTTGTTGCAGTCAATAATTATTAGATTCCTACAAATATGCTTAAAATAGTTAGCTTTACTAGAAGACGTTAGTTCTAAATTCAGTATTTGGTATCTACAATAAGGAACACGCAGTTAGCCATGATTTTTGTCCCTAGTGAAACAATTGATATTCTTTTGACATTAAACGTCAAATTTTGTTAAAAGTTTTGTTTATGTAGCGATTAATTGCGTTTTATGTAATCGCGAGTAATTATATTAATGCAAAAGTTAATACAATCTCGACAAAGTGTTAAAATTAAAATGGGTCGAATCGTCATATTACATCAACAAGCCCAACTAATGGTATGTTATGCATGTTTTTCTAAAGTCGGGAAAACCAAATATAATATAACTGGGAAAGTTTTAGAATTAGTTAAAAAAATACATCCTAACTATATTGAAAATAATAACTGCAGCCCTTCAGTACTTTGTGGCACCTGCTACTTTAAATTAAAAAGAAATACGTTGAATCACATTATTAATTACAATAATTTTAAAGATAGAATAAGGAGGTACGAAGAGAAATGTTGTTGTCAAATTTGCGAGACAGCCCGGTTTAATATTGTTAAAACCAAGGTACGAAAGCAACCACCCATTGAAAAAGTCTCAGTCGGTAGGCCAAGAATTCGCCAAATTGATATCCCACAGTCCATAAAAATATGCTCTTTATGTAAAAGTGAAATTCACAAAGGCTTGTCCCACTCCTGTACACTTGCACAAAAAGTCTCAAACGTTGTTAATTTAGCAGATACGTGCCGACAACAGGTTGTCTGTAAAATTTTAAAAACCGAAGAATCTGCCCAAAACTGTTCCAATTTGACTTTAAATAAAGGATTTGGTTCTAGTTTATCAGTACAAGTTCAATCGGGTAGTAGCCAAAAGAAGACATCGCCAGTGATTGATACAGACACACTTAGTAAAATTTCCATCGATTGTAGACTGCCCATAAACACTATAAAGAAGCTGAGCTATCATCTAAGACAGATTGACAAACATTTGGTGGAGCCAAATGCAGTAAAGAATTTAAAAGAGCTTAGTCACAGTTTGGATGAGTATTTTGAATGCGTTACGTTGTCTCATATGGAATCTACTAAAAATACAAAGTCGTCGACACCCTTTGTTTTTTGTCATAATCTACCAGAACTAGTTGCTTTTTTGCTGAAAAAACGAGACGTACATGAAAATAGTTTTCACTTAAAGTTTGGCGTTGATGGTGGCGGGGGCTCTTTGAAAGTCTGTCTCAATCTATTATCTGACGATAGTGTGTCTGATAACCGCGATGAAGGCAAAAACTTAAACTCGGGAATCAATAAACTCATAATAATTGGACTTGCACCAGAAACAATAGAATCTTACAACAATCTGAAAACTCTGCTTCACACTATGGACTTGCAATCCGTCTGTGGCCTTTGTCCATATACACTTGCGATTGACATGAAACTTATCATGATCTTCCTTGGCCTTCAATCTAATTCATCTTCATATCCTTGCCCTTATTGTGAGGTATGTAGCAAACATCTGAAAGATATAGCAGATCCAAGGACCATTCAAAGCATATCGCGGCAAAATGATTTATGGCTAAATGAGACTGGTGGAAATCTTTCAAAAGCAAAACTATACAGTAAGTAGTATTCAGTCTTTTAGGTCAGATAAAAATTTTGTACATAAATTGGTATTCTTGCATGTTAATATTTATTATTTTTAGAAAGCTGCGTAAATAAGCCTCTTATAGTCGGAGAAGAAAATACAAAAGTTTTAAAATATGTCCCACCACCAGAGTTACATTTGCTTTTGGGCATAACGCAGAGAATTTTTGATGACCTAAAACGAAATACGCCTGACATTGCAGAAGCGTGGATTAGGAAATCAAATCTTAAATTGGATCACTACCAGCGTTTCAATGGAAACAATGCAAGAAGACTCCTCAAAACTGTGGAAGACCTAGCAAAAATATGTCCAGGTTAATATCTATATTAACTGATTTCCTCTTCTTTTTTTGTTTTTTTTCTTCAAAAAAAAAATCGAACTTCTCTTGCAACACAAGCTTGTGTTGCGATATGATTTTATTTTTTTAAATGAATACTTCGACATTATCTACTTTTTTAGGAAACAAGTATATTCCAGCTTTTAGAGCTTTTAACAAAGTAGTTTCAAGCTGCTTTGGGGGATCACTGGATATTAATTATGAAATTTACATTGAAAGATTTGCGTGCGAGTTAGAAAAGCTAGAAATTCCATATACACCAAAAATGCATGTGTTAGTTCATCATGTCCCAGAATTTATTAAGATGACGAATACTCCACTGGGCTATTATTCTGAACAGGCATCAGAACAATGCCATCATGCCTACAAACAGCACAGTTTACATTATAATTTAAACCATAATTCTAAGAATTATCTTTACAATTTGCTTAGAAGCGTTTGTTCTTTGAATAGTAAACATATTTAAGTCTGATTTTGATTTGTAGTTGTATTTGGTAAGCATTTAGGTACAGTAATTCGTTAAATATCTTCTTTATTCTTAATCATAAATTAAAATTAGGTACTAGTATTTACAGTTTGGTGTTAATGTTGTGATAATACGAAAGTTTTTTTTATATAATTCTGAGTTTGAGGACTGTATTTACAATATGGCCAACTTCGCAAGCGAAGCGGTGCGGTGTGACAGTTGTATTAAAATAATCAAAATATTGACGATATTGTTTATTTTACATATTTATAGGTTAGAAACTAACCAAATGTTGTAGTTCACAACATCATCTCAAGAGAAATAAAATAAAATATAGTATTTTAATAGGTCATTTTTACATGTCTAGCAAAAAAAAACATTTTCTACAATTTCTCGAAAAGGGCTCGATAGAAGATTTTAATTTATTTTGATAATAGTAGTAGATCTTATATGAATTCCAAAAATCCGAGTTTTAAATCATGTATATTTTTTTTCTTGAAAAGGCCCTCTAGGCTAACTGTGTTTCAAAGTTTTTTTACTTCTTTTTTTCCTGGGTCATGGTGCCATACTGATATAAGTTTCTCAATTAGTTTATGATTATTACTTATCGTTTTAGATGTAATTCCACTCTTCAATAATTCCCATAAGTTTTCTATGGCATTTGCATCTGGTGAGTTTCCTGGCCATGGTAAAACTTCTCTTCTCTTATTTTGTATTTAAAAATAACAATGTGTATGGAATAAACTACACCTGTTATTGAAATGATGTTTTACCTTGTTCCACTGATCTTTTGTCCAACTGCGATGTTAAGCCCAATCAAGACGTTTATATTTCATTGCTTCCGTTAATTTGGGTTTTAGCTGGAGGGCGAGCTACCAAACTTTATATCTGAAGTTGCTATTCCAGCCTCTTGTATCAGTCTGGTCAGCACTCGACAAGTTTTTTTTTCAGTTTTCCAAGTAAATGTATCTAATTTTCTTTTGTCTCGTGGTGTTGTTAACCCTTTTAGACCACATCAGCTCAGCAATTTTTGCCGAGATGTCTTTCTGCATACCCATGAAAAAAAGGCGTTATCACTGGAATTTAATAGGAAGGATGCCGAACTAATACAATAACAATGGGTGATTCTACAAAAGTAGGCAAAAAGTACGTTACTGTAGGCTAGAAATTAATATAAATACACAATATTATTTTTTTTTTGTCCTCATACTTCAATAGTTACTTATAATAATAATAATAATAATTTATTTCGTGTTATTATACAATCAGTATTTACACAAGTCAGGCAAATAAAAATATAATAGTAAACAACTAAATACATATAAGCAATAGAAAAACATATAATAAATCTTTATTTGCCCAACAGAAATTCCAATTACAGGACAAAAAAAACATAAAAAAATTAGATACATTGTTCATTAAATATAATCAATTATAACATTATAATATTTATATATAAATAAATCAAACATAACTTAATCTAAAATGATCTTTACAACATTTAAGTAATTCTTGGTATGTACTAGTATTAATATCACAATTAGGCGAAATCACATTAAAGTTATTTGACATTACTACTACTGGCGACTTTGAATGTATGTTTGTACGAGACAAGTTACAATAAAAAACCATCCAGTTACGGGAGCTTACTCTGGGAATATAAAACTGCAACTGAGATAAGAGAACCGGAGAATCCACAACACCGTGCACAAGCTTGGATAAATATACAACGGAAAAAGAAAACCTACGCTCATCAAGGGCCTGGACTAAGTAGCTCCCGATGATCGCAGCCCCTCCTTGGATAGACACCATCAACTGAAAACGACATAAATTTCATAAACCGCCTCTGAATTTTTTCGAGTTTAATTATGTTTATTTGATAATATGGATACCATGCTAGGGATGCATATTCCAATCTACTTCTTACAAGAGAAAAGTATAAAGTTTTGAGAGAAGCGGAATTAGAGAAACTGGTGCAATTACGAAATATGAATCTCAGCATGCGAAGAGCAGACGCGCATATGTTACCTACATGTTCAGAGAAGGAGAGTTTGCTATCGTACAGAACACCCAGTGCATCTCTCAAGAATCTGGTTATCAATTTGGTAATCAAAAATTACGGGATTGGTTTTTAACGTGTATGTGCACACTTTACATTTTTGGATATTCAACCCAAGTTTGTTAGTGTTACACCACTTTTCTAAGTTAACACAGTCTTCAAAGTTATTAATTACCGTAAAGAGCTTTAGATCATCCGCAAACATTAGGTTATCACACGCGATTAAATCGGGTAACTCATTTATAAATAAATTGAAAAGAAGGGGGCCTAGGTTGGACCCTTGCGGGACACCAGAAGTGGAGGAATACAAATCAGAGTTGTACCCATTGTAACTAACATATTGTTGCCGGTTATCAAAATATGTGACAAATAACTCCAACAGTGAGTCATCAAAACCAAACTCTTCCAGCTTTTTAATCAAAACCATATGATCAACCCTATCAAATGCTTTCGAAAAGTCCGTGTATACCATATCAACTTGACCCCTGTCGTTTAACGCGTTTGAGATAAACTGGGTTGTAATGGCTAAATTCGAAACAGTGGAGCGACGAGACATAAAGCCATGCTGATTAATGGAAATATGGGATTTGGCTTGCTCGTAGATAATTGTATACACGCACTTTTCAAACACCTTCGCAAAGTTACTTAATATTGAGATCGGCCTATAGTTGGCAATGTTATTGGGGTCGCCAAATTTAAATACGGGACACACTTTCGCTAGCTTCCAAATGTCTGGAAAAGTTTTTGTTCCCAAAATGGTATTAAAGATTAAAAAAAGTGGGGAAGAGAGGGTGTAAGCACTGTCACTCACAATAAAGCTAGGAATAAGGTCATTGCCCGACGTAAATTTATTGGGTAATTGTTTCATGCATTTAATAACATCTGACAAACTTAATGTTGGAATAGTTATGTGTAAGCTATTTAATATATTTTGAGGAGGTGATGGTACTACTGCAGAACTCTTAGGTAGAAAAACGCTTTTGAAAAATGTTGCAAAAGCATTAACGATATCAACCGGGCAACGGTACTTGTTATTACCTTCATAAAGTTCACCAGGAATTCTGGAAGTTCTTTTTTTGTTTTGGATATAGTTCCAAAATGATTTTGGAACCACTGGTAATACTATTTTCTGCCGTTGTTAAAAAATTTTTGTAAGCAATAGTCGTTTCCTCTTTAATTATTTTGCGAATTCTACAAAACTCTCTGTAATATGTATAATTTTTTGTCTGTTTAAATTTATTGTGATAAAATAGTTTAGTTTTCAAGTTATTGATTATAGATTTAGTATACCATTTAGGATAGTTATTGTTTTTATACGTTTTTAATATAGGAACATGAATATCAAACAATGAGTAGATTTTTTCATAAAACATCAAACACATATCATAATCAACCTCAATTAGTGCTCTATACAACTCTGGATAGTTAGCCCTTTTGAAATTAAACTGTTTATTTTTACTGCTTGGGGGTAGATTGACAGTCTTGTACCAAGAAAGGCTTAAACTAACAGATAAAGCCGGATGGTAAGGGTCTTCTTCGACAAAAGGAATAATTTCTCGTTCAACCACACATTCAGCATTGGTAGAAATGAGATCTAAAAGCCTATCTTGGTTATTCGCAACGTTATTTCTTTGGCTAAGGGCTGTAAAATTAAAAAAGTCACTTGATTGTGATTTGGGGTCATTGACATTGACATTTCTAAATTTATTTGCGTTAAAATCGCCTAATATTATAACATTTTTTTGACCGATAACACCGGCCGACATGATTTTCGTTGTCCAAGATATAATTAATTTTTTCCACTAATTTTGTAGTGCTGATTACGAAATCAGACCTTATTTTATCGTATCACATCAGATTATTAGTAAAATTAATATATTCGCTTTTTTTGATTTTTCAGTAAAAATAAATTAAATTATTGAGTTTTGGCGCTCTTCCCTTGAAATAAGCAACCTCTTCTGAGAAAATATATTAGTTGGAATAGCGACACGCCCATTCGAAACGCGTTACATGAAATTAAGCCATTATAGTTACTTTGTTTACAAACTTTTTACTAAAACCAGTGTGTTTATTTAAAAAAATTGTTTACGTTTTACTTTTGATATTTAATATATTTAATTTATGATTTGTGGTTGAAAAACGTATAAGAAACATAATGTCTTCAAGAAAGTGTCATAATAGTCCAGATACATTTTGTTACATTTGTGGAAACTTCATGACTTCAAAGCAAAAACTGAAAATTACTGAGTTTGTGGAAAATACGTATAATGCTTATTTTGGCTTCAAAATACAACTAAAATCGTGGACTCCGCAGTTAGTTTGTACTATTTGTGTTGAACAATTAAGGCAATGGGCATACCGCAAAAGACAATCTCTAGCTTTTGGTAGACCTATGATTTGGAGAGAGCAAGTCAATCATATTGATGATTGTTATTTTTGCTGTACCAATGTGAAAGGTTTTAATGCTAAAAATAAAAATAAGATAGCCTACGCAAATGTAACCTCAGTTACACGTCCCATTCCACACGATCCAGAAATTCCAGTGCCCCTTCCAAGTTCCATATCTAATCTCAGCTCAACATCGTCAGAAGAAAATTTACATCGTCAAGACTCAAATGAAGTTTTTGAACCATTTTTAAATCAGCCACAGAAATTCACACAAGGTGAATTAAATGATTTAATTAGAGATTTAAATCTTTCTAAAGAATTTGCTCAACTTCTTGGGTCTAGACTTCATGCAAAACACCTGTTAGCTCCTGATACACATTTTGCTTGGTATAGGAAGCGTGAAGAAGAATTTGTACCTTTTTTCAGTCAACAAGAATCATTAGTTTATTGCCACAATATTCCTGATCTTGTTGAAAAGTTAGGAGCGCAATATAATCCTGGAGAATGGAGACTTTTTATAGATTCTTCGAAACAGAGTTTAAAAGGTGTTCTTTTACACAATACTAATCAGTATGCTTCTGTTCCTGTCGCTCACTCTGTTCATTTAAAAGAGACTTATGAAAATTTGGAAACAGTACTAGATAAAATTAAATATAAAGAACACGGTTGGCAGCTTTGTGGAGATCTGAAAATTATAACTATGCAGTCAGGATACACGAAATATCCTTGTTTTTTGTGCGAGTGGGACAGTAGAGCACGAGAAAAGCATTACGTTCAGAAACAATGGACTCCTCGTACAAATCTCAAACCAGGAACCAAAAATGTTATACGAGAAAATTTAATTGATCCCGAAAAAATTTTATTACCTCCGCTTCATATTAAACTCGGTATGATGAAACAGTTAGTTAAGGCATTGGATAAAGAAAATGATAGTTTTAAATACTTGAGTAGAAAATTTTCAAGATTATCAGATGCCAAAATAAAAGAAGGAGTATTCGATGGACCACAAATTAGATCTTTGATGACCGATGAAAAATTTGATGCAACCCTGAATACTACTAGCTTGGCTGGCGTTCAAAGATGTTGTCAACAATTTTTTAGGAAATCACAAACACCCTGACTATAAAAATATTGTGGCAAACTTACTAAATAAGTATAAAAAATTGGGGTGTAATATGAGTATAAAACTTCATTTTTTACATTCACATGTGGATTTTTTTCCTGATAACCTTGGTGATTATAGTGAAGAACAGGGAGAAAGGTTTCACCAAGACATAAAAACTATGGAAACAAGGTACCAAGGTCGATGGAATGTGAATATGATGGCTGATTACTGCTGGTCAATAAAACGTGATATTATTGATGATTCTCATAAAAAAATTACACCCAGACGTAATTTTATCGCTAAACGTAAAAGAAGGCACTCAAAATAGCCCTGTAGCAATTATTGTACATGATATTTTCTGTGTAAGTTTTCAAATATATGTATTCATAATATAATAATTGATTTTTTCTTAAAATTTTAAAATAAACGCTTTTTCCTTTTGTAAAAAAACCTGATGTGATAGAGTAATTATGTAGGTATTTTTGTGTTCAAAATACTATAAATTAGTGATATTTTTACTCAAATTAAAACAACGTTCAAAAAGTTTTCATTTGTCGGTCGGTGTAATATATTGTTCCAAACACTCAAAAAACAACTCAAAGTCTGCAACAGATACATGTGGGGGGATATATATTACATAAATGAACAAGTGACCAATATTAAGTGAACATTTACAACATAACAGGTCTATTTTGGGAAAGGTTATCACAAATTCACTGGTATTCACTACTTCAACACAGAGATTCACACTACATGCAAGAAGAACTCCTCCTCCGCGCGACGTTCCTGTTGCTTTAAATTGGCGATCTTGTCTGTACACATTTAAGGTGTTTGCAAAAAGTTCTGAGCTCATGACATCATTCGATAACCAAGTTTCAACAAGAGCAACGAAGTCGTAATCAGATGATGAAACTGAAGAGTAAAACTTTACAATTTTGGTATTGAGACCTCTCACATTTTGGTAATAAAATCTATAATTGAAATTGCGAGTTTCCTTGGGCCTATCTAGTTTAAAGAAATGATCTGCGGTATACCCTTTATGTATTTAATCCTTAAGTTGTTTTCCCCATTCGTTGCTCTATCGTTCAGTTCATTCTTGAGTGAATTGTAGAATTTTATTTGTCTTGGAGTGCGGTCTGTTGATATTCCTATTGCCGAGTAAGAATTGTGTTTCTTAAGTTCGACAGCTTTTTTCATAAATATATGCACAGAATTCTCATCTGGCAATTTTAACTTTATTGGACGAGGTGTGGCTTTGGAGGCATCCAACTTTCCCAGCCGTAATGGCTTGACGTTGTTTAGTTGCATGGAGGGAGCTAAAAATTGTACAATACTGGAGACCGACACCAAGTCATGGTTAGTTCTCTCCGTAGTAGAATTGCTATTACTTTCTGAAACACCATAGACAATTACATTGCATTTTCTAACACTTCTTTCATTAACTTCCTGTATAATTTCTTCAAATTCCAGGTCGCTAATTGATTTAGATTCCTTAACAGTGGCTTTAAGAGACTCCACTTCTGAAGTTAATTGCGTAATTGTTGCTATTAAGCTATTAATAACATCAACTAGTTGTAAGCAGCTTTGGCAGGATGCGTTTGCTTGATTTTTGGGCGGCATTTATAATAACGCTGTATTATCACCTTTTTAAATAATTTATTAGAGTGCAATCACCTACTAAATTCAGCAATAATGCATCCACTAATTCAATTTATAAACCGCGCTCTTTAGCGCAGAGATAGTGCACCCGACTAGCAAGCAGAAGGTTGAAGGTTCTCACCCAGCGAGTGGACGAACAACTGTTTAAGTTTTATTTTTTGACAAAAATTGTGCTGACTCAGTAATAACAGGTTATGTTACCACAAAATTTTATAATAAATTGATTAATTTTTGTTCAAAATGGCTTAGCATCACCACTCATTCACTATCAATGCACAAATCACACTCAGATAATTAAACTGAGTTTAAACCGTTTAAAAATACTAAAAAACTTAGAGAACAATGCACCGCATTCACAGGTTAGGTATAATATAATAATATAATAATATATATATTATATACATATAAAGAATATTTTAAAGATAATATGTGACCTACACTAAAATCTTTGTTTAATACATTAGTTTAAAAATTTAAAATCTAGGTATTCTTGAATAGAGTAAAAAGCATTGGCAATTAGCAGGGTCTTTACCCTATGCTTAAATTTATTTAATTCCAACGTTTTTATGCTATCTGGCAGTTTAGAAAATAGCTTAGGACCTATATAATCAATAGATTTTTGAGATTTTGACAATCTGAACAAAGGAAGTCTTAATTGGTTTTTATTTCTTGTTTGATATGAGTGAAGGACATTAAGGGATTGATAGTTGCTTAAATTTGTTTTGATATAGATTAGAGTTTCATAAATAAAAACGCAGGGGAAAGTTAAAATTTTTTGTTCAATATATTTTATTTTGCAATCATCTCTATAGTTAAGATTAGTTATGATGCGAATAGCTTTACGTTGAAGAAAAAAAATGCGACTACTGCTGGGACTTTGGCCCCATGTTAGTATTGAATATGACAGCAATGAGTGGCAAAGTGGCTGTTTTAAGCACAGCACTGGATACTGATGAGGACAGATTTCTGAGTAGATATATATTTTTAGATAGTTTAGAGACGACATAATCAATATGGGTATTCCATTGTAGTTTAGAATCTAGAAATACACCAAGAAATTTGGTGTTTTCAATGAATTCTTTATCATCAGAATTTTGACATCGCAGCGAGTAAAGCATTTTTGTCGTTTTATCAGAATTCAGTGTGAGACTATTCTGACAAAACCACCCAAAGGCCTCCGACTGTGCACCACATGACAATCTCTTAGCTTCGTTAATATTATCACTTGTGACAGATATTGTAGTATTGTCAGCAAAAAGGATGTAATGTCCAATGTTATCGGATGCAGGAAGATCATTAATATAAATAAGAAAAAGAAGGGGTCCAAGAACATATCCTTGTTATTTGCATTAGCAGTTTGTTGTCGATCAGTTAAATATGATTTTAACATTTTAATGGAAGTTTTTCCAAGATTATATTTCAGAAGTTGGTTAAGAAGGACATCATGCAGCACACAGTCAAAGGCCTTGGAGAGGTCGCAGAAAATTCCGTGCAGTGTAATTACCTCAGATAAATGGTTGGATATAGAAGAAGACAAAGAAAAAACTAAGATGCAAAAGGAGCAAGAAAAACAAGAAAGAAAATAGCCAGGGAGCTTAAAAAACAGAAAGTAGAAGAAAAAACAACAACTAAGAAAATTGTAAAAAAAAAGAAAACTCATTGAAGAAATATCGACTTCTGAAGATGAATGGGAAGATTCTGGAAATAGTGATAATGATGTTGATATTCTAGAAGGGGCTGTGCCAGAAATTGAAATTGCACACCCCGAAAATCTTAAGCCTGGGAGTTTTATTTTAGCTCAGTTTAAAGGAACAGGAAAAAGGTTGGCAATGACGTTTAGATATGTGGCAACCATTTTGAAAGTTTTTTCTGATGACGAATATCAAATTAAATGTTTAAAAAGTCTAGACAAAGCCAAGACAACCTTTGACTATTTAGAAACATGCGTCTCTGTTATTAGTAAAGAGAGCATCATTGGCCAGCTTTCAGATACAACTCTAGATTAAGACGGAAGAAAATTATTAACAAAATTTACAGGTTCTGTTGATGTTTATGAAAAAAGATAAATATTTTGTTACTTTTATGCTTATTATATTTTAGATGCATGTATTACGTTAACAGCAGTATTCATAAATTATTCTTAATAAAAACAATTATGTTAATACCCAGCAAACCAAATCATGTAACAGTGATATAACATTTACATAAAAATTGTTCCTTAGTATGCAACAGCTATGTCACCTATATGTAATGGCGATGCTCCTATGTCTGCCTCAAGACCCCTTCCTGGGTATGTATCTGTGATGTAACAGTGTTTTATCATAGATATGTAACTGTAATGTTACAGCGCCATATTGTAACCTCAACTCGAGGGCTATGGCGAACGGCAGCTTTACAGTGGTGAGATGGGTCGATGGGCAAATGTTGTTTCTTAATACTTACGTGTTTTTACTAACATAAATCCAAAATTGGGCGCCAGTGTCTTATTATGGCCAGTTGTTAAAATCTATGTAAGTCAGACACAATCTTACTAAAGACTAAGGGTGGTTATTGAAAGTCAAGTTTAAAAAAAAATATAAATCAGTTATATTTGTTCACCGATGTTATAATCATCACTTTGCATGTAATAATAAATATTTTGGTGCACCCTTATATGGCCATATATGGTTTACAAAAACCAAAGTCTGATAACTGACAAAATATTATCGATGCTACAAAAAAAATATACTTAAAATAACTATGTTGAACTCTCAACTTAAAAGTACACAAACAAAATATATTATAAGGAGTGTAGTGTACGTGAACATTAATATTTAAAATTGGTACGACCTGTTCGTAGTTGGGGCCCTGGTAGAGTGTGTCTCCGAATGGGTTGGCTTCCGATGAAGAAGTCTCCTACCATGTCAGATTATACAGGATGGCTTTAAAATAACGTAAGAACTTGCCATTATCCAAAACAAGTTCAGGGTAAAAAACCATTCCTTTATAACAAATCTGACATAAAAAGTCTTACAAAAAACTCCAACATAAAAACCCTAAAAAAAATGTGGTATGATGCCCAAGCATCTAAAAAAACTATTAACCGCCTAACTTACCCTTGTTTAAAGGAGTTTTTATAACTATACAACGTCAGGACTGCATAAAGACCAAAAATGAGGGAATAACACAACCCTAAAATGGAGAACCTCGTGAATAAAACATTTAATTTCAGCAACAAGTCAAAAACTCACCCAGAGCTCATCGTACCAAACGAAAATTGTCTTGGTCGGAATTATACAATTAGATTGAGAGATTTACCACGTATTTTTGGAAATTTTCCATAATTTAAGCACAAACTTAACTCTCATCTAATCGCTTCAACGACCAAATCGAAAAGGAAAACGTAAACCTTATTAAGTGCGTAGAAGATTATTTAAACAAAAAAAACACAATGTTGCCTATGTTAACAAACATTTTTAAAAAGAATTCCCACAAAGTCCACCAGAACCCAAGCCTCAAACACAAATACTCCCTTAGTAAACCCTAGCAACATACTCAAAAACCCAAATACATACCCCCCTAAACGCAATAATTTGGAAAATTCCCTCCACTGACACTAAACTGTCATTAACGGCAAACCAGCCATCAAAATGAATATATTAATTATTACTACATCAACCAAGCTCACACGGAAGTGTTTGGGTTGCATACTATCAAATTACCGTTTTTGAATAAAATTAAAAGAACTGGCTTAAAAAGAGTTTTAAATACCGGCAATGCTATTCATGTGTCAGTAAAAGGAATTCAAATAAAACTAATAGATTTTCTTGGAAAGAGGCATTTAAAGAACTAAACAATTATCCTTGTTAAAATTATACTTAACAATTAGTAAAACTAAAAATAAAATACTTAACCGTGTACATCCATACCGTTCTAGATGTAAAAAAAAACTAATAAAATAAAATAAATGTGTAGCTGTCAAAATGACGGTTACAATATCATAGTTATGTAAACGTGATAAAACAATTATATTCTATTTACATAAATGTTGCATTCTATTTACTTAATATTTATGCAATATTTACTTATTATCTATATATAATTTATGCAATATTTACATATTATTTATGAAATATTTATAAATATAATTTCATGTAATATATTATCTTACTGGTATTAAAAATTGCTTAGCCCTAACTTGGTATTATGGCAACTTTAAAATTCTAAATAGGAACCCCCATTTTTTATTGCAGATTCGGATTTCCCATTAAAAAATAAGTAACTTTTATGGAAAACCTTTTTTTAAATTCCTGATAGATGGCGCTGTAATCGCAAGAAACCCTATTTTTGGGAATATCTTGAAAAATTGCAGATTCGGATTTCCCATTAAAAAATATAATTAGTGTATACGAGAATTGTTAGGGAATTCAAAAAAAATAAATTAATTAATTCCTTTTGATGTTGGTACAAATTAAAAATATTTATATCTTACTAATGCGTCCAGGTATGTTCATATGTAGGTATGTTATAAAAACATATTTATACCTTAGGTACTTATGCGTCCATAAAAACATATGTTCCGTTTTTATAGACGCAACATTCGCAGTTGATTTAGAAACGTACGAGTGAGAAATGAATGCTGCAACCGTAGAAGAAAAAATTGAAATGATTCTGATTTTCGGAGAATGTAGGCGGAATATTGACGATGCTGTTGCCTTATATGCTTTAAATCCGACGGTAGTGTACAACTTAAAAAAAGAAAACGAAGAAACACTGTCACAGGAGAAGCTAATGAAATTAATGTGATAGCAGCTGTTCAACATAACCCTCATGTAAGCACTCGGGAAATACATCGGGATCTCGGGATTTCCAGAGATAGTATTCGGAGAATATTGAATCGTCACAAGTATCACCCATACCGGGTTTCACTGCATCAGGAACTTCATGGCAATGATTTTCATCGGCGAGTAGAATTTTGTGAATGGGCAGTTCAGCAAATACAAAGAAATCCCAATTTCTTCGCTAATGCACTATTTTCAGATGAGTCCACATTCACAAACCATGGTTCCGTTAATCGGTATAACATGCACTATTGGAGTGTGGACAATCCCCACTGGTTACGACAAGTTGAACATCAACGTTCCTGGTCGGTTAACGTTTAGTGTGGAATTTTAGGTAACAAACTCATTGTTCCTTATTTCATTGATGGAACCTTAATTGGAATCAAATATCGAAACTCTACCTCTACTTGAGGATGTTGCCCTGCCCATTCGATAAATTATGTGGTTTCAGCATGACGGTTGCCCAGCCCAGTACTCAGCAACAGCACGGGAAGTATTGAACCGTGATTTCAATGGCCGATGGATCGGCTTAGGTGGCCCGGTTAATTGGCCTGCTAGGTCACCTGATTTGACATCGCCGGATTTTTTTCTGTGGGGTTATCTAAAAGATAAGGTTTTTCAACAAGCACCAACAACTCGGGAATACATGATACAGCGCATAAAAAACGATTGTGCTGCCACAGATATGCTCCTCTCCTGTGCACATTCATTTGAAAAAAGAATAAATAAGTGTCTAGAAGTTCAAGGTCACAATTTCGAACATTTAATCTAATTTATTAAACAGTGAGAGGCAGGGGGACTCTCTTAAAATTAGCACCCCGATGGGAACAAAAAACTACTGCGTCCTGGTCCTTGTTCTTGGGTACACGATACACGAATAAAATCTAAAAATTAAACAAGTTTTTCTTTTTTTCGATACGATGTGTAATTTTTTAAGATATTCCCAAAAATCGGGTTTCTTGCGATTACAGCGCCATCTATCAGGAATTAAAAAAAGTTTTTCCATAAAAGTTACTTATTTTCTAATGGGAAATCGGAATCTGCAATAAAAAATGGGGGTTCCTATTTAGACTTTTAAAGTTGCCCCAACCCCCACCCCAGGGGGTGGTCGTGAGGGGTCGACTTTGGTATCATTGGATGGCCCCCTTCCAGGCGAACAAATTTTATTCAAAACTTTTTTTGATCCGATGCGTAGTTTTCGAAATATTTCAATGTCTTCAGATAAATCGGCCACCCTGTATATATATATTGTTATATGGCTGATACATAAGGGGGATGTAAATATAACAAGAGGGGAACATATTTATATAAATGTTATATTACTATGTTTTATCATAATTATGTAACAAAATAAATAACTAATATGTAAATGTTATGTAAACAATTTTATATGGCAATGTTCTTTGTTATTTATATCATGTCATGGTTATATCATGTCATGGTTATGTAAATGGAACAGCCTGGTTTGCTGGGTATGTTTGTCTTTAAACACTATTTATTTCCCTGGCCATAAGTAGGCAAAACTTATGGCGAAAAGTGGGTGACAGGTCGTGGGTTCGAATCCCAAAAATATACTGAATGTAACACAAAATACATTTTTTTTATTGCTTATATTAAATATTGTATTCAAAATTTAATATTTGTAAATTGTGGTGCAGAAATACCACTTTTTCTGCATTAGAAGGCAATAGTCTGTTTCTTTTGTCCTCATATACATTTCCAGCTTCTGAGAAAAGTCTTTCACTATAAACACTGCTCGCAGGAGCAGAGAGATAAGTTGCAGCAAATTGTGTTAATATTGGGTACTGACTTCGATGGGATGCCTACCAAATATAAGGATTGCGGAATGCGTTTAGTTTTCAAATAAGCGTCAAGTTCTGACGATTTTTTTTGGATGATTGACTATTAGCAATATTAGCATTTTCGTTTTTTTATTATCTTTATTAGCAGGTCACTTTTGCTACTTGATTCTTCACAGCTTTTTTTTAAAGCCTCTAATAAAATTAACTGTCGAGCCTTTTCAGCTATATTTTGGTCCACGAAGAAACTCGTCTTAAACCTAGGGTCGAGTAGAGGAGACAGCAAATAAAACTTTTCTGTTTTGAGCTTGGTAAAACGGTTTTCCAGCTCCGCTTTAATAGCTAGCCTCATACTCTGCAATTTTTTGCTCGCTTGCGCAGTTTCTT